TGAAAGATACTTTTTGATACAGAGCTATAGCATAAAGTATGGACACCTATGAATAAACGAAGACTGACAGAAAACCACAGAGCACTGTGTAGTTCCAATTCATCATTTATCAAGAAAACAAAAGCTTCTCAGTCTCGATAATTAGCCGAGACTGAAGTAGCCAAGGAACTTCCCGGAACAGTGATTCGCTTGTGAATGGAATCCTAAGGCCGCGTTCATACACAGCCCCTCCGTGGCCTCCGCGGAATTTTTAGAATAAACAAAGTATACGTATCGATTCGGAAAATTCCACGGAGGCCGCGGAGGCGCTGTGTATATGCGGCCTAAGAAGGCAGTGATGGTGGCTCCGAGTTACAACGTTCACGACTGTACTTCACTTCCAAATGAACTTCACTACGACTGAAAAAAGCCGTTCATACTCTGGGTAGCGTTCTGAGCGACCAGGAAGGCATAGGTCATCGATCCAGCGTTTTGAGCGTCCGCCAGCGCCTTGAGTGTTTTGACCGACTAAGAATCTGTAGATATTGATACTGCTGAGAAATGCTGGGGAATGCTCGAAACGCTGACGCCCAAAACGCTCAAAACGCCGCCCTAAGTTGTTAACGCACTCCAGGCCCTCTTCACAGAGTTTTCCAATCCACACCAGCATGATGTACAAGTGACCTTCCCCCCGTGGACCTCTGTTAACAGAAGTGAAAGGATACAAGCAATTCAGCCACAGGCATCCAACTTCTATCTGTTCTTGTGATTACCTTATTCTCCCACTTGTGACTTTCCGTTGTTCTCTTCATACTCCATTGCAACGCTAAGGAGGTTTTTGCGTTGTAAGGCGTCGACCGTGTTGCACTTTTTCAAACTTTTGCCGACCATTACAGCGGTACGAGGGCTAGCGGTGAGGCACAGTCGCGCGACTGAATCGGCCGATTCGCGAAGTATGAATGTGGTATCGAAGAGGGACCACCACGTTTAGGCATCGAGACAGGACAGCCGGAATGAATGCTCTCATACTTCTAGTCGGCGTTTTACTACCCTTTTCGCTCATATCGCTCAAGACGCCAGATCGATGCTTATATTTTCCTTTTCGCTCAAAACGCTGGCGTTTTTTGCCAAAACGCTAGATCACTACCTTTGCTTCCTTTCCCCCAAAACGTTGACGAAAAGTATGGTTGCAGCCGTAGAAACACCAAACTAGTAGTAAGAACTTTCATTTGACAACCTCGTTGATACTAAAGAAAGAAAACGCACCAAGGTTTGGAAAGCTTATTTGAGGGAAAGAAACATAGAGACGCCTGCCCTTTCTCTCCCCCCCCCCTATTACACTATCACCCAAAGGTCTTCGGTTATCAACATCCTCACATGAAATATGGTCCTGGATAACTTCATAACCATTGAATATGTATATGTTGCGGCTACAACATCAGGTATCAACCGCACATCAATGTCTTGTCTTCTTTCGCGCTTGTAGACTGCAATAACGCCGACGGGATGAATCCCATGCAAGTCAGAAAACAAGAAGGCCTGCGAATAGCACTTGAAAATATGGGACTGGACGTCCTCAATTAAACACGAGCAACGAATCGGGAACTACCCAGGAGTTGATTCAACCAGTTTTTTAAGAGATTTCTTATTAAGCAGTGTAAAGTAAAGTGAATAAGCAATAAAAAGCAAGATATTCAACCAAGGTACATTGCAATTATAAAAATTTTAAAAAACAGCATTCAGAAACAACAAGCCATGATTCGAATCGTGGGCACAGTCGAAAAATAAATAGCCGTCGATGCGGCGCTTCGTTCGTGGTTGCGTACAAACCTTTTAAGCTGTCGTCAGAATCTTTTCGAACGCTCGTTTCTGCAACACTTTTTGTTGTTGGTCATTCGCGGAATTCTAGCAATTTTGCCTTTAATACTTGCTTGAAATGATAGTCCTTTCTTGTTTATTGCTTTATGGACACCATTAATGGTCCAGAAACGATCCCATATATGTTTGTTTGGTGTGAGATTGTGTTTGTTTTCAAAGGTGTTGGTTTCTAGGTTACTATGTCCGCCGATATCCAACCTGCACCAAGCAACAATGACGAAAGTAATGCTGATAAAAACGCGGATGATGGCGAAGGAGGTGCAAACTAGTTTACTTGATTCTTCTTTTCACTGAAAATAGAGAAACCATTTCCAGCAACGTTTATAGTAATCCTTTTACAGGTATCCAGCAACCAGACCAAATGCAGAAAACATTGTTAAACTTGGTATTTCGGTCTATGAAAAGGACACATGATATGTTCAGTAATGACTACACAGTATTTCCTGAACTGGCTGAAAAAGAGTACGTCGTGGATATGGGGACATTAGCAGGCATATACTACGATCATTTTTTAGGTTGAATCTCGTTCGATCCCTCAAGAAGAGATGTGAATACAGTTCTGTGATACGACACGTTGAAGAGGCTAAAAAACGGCGGGAACAGGAGCTTCTGAAGGTGCGAATGTTTTTTCTTTTTGCTGACTACCGTTTT